TTAAAAACTGTTGTTGCACTGTTAATCCTCTTGTGGTTGCAGATAGAACATGCACTGACCTTAAAAGGGAGACACAATAATCACTGAATCATAAAACCAATCGACATAAAGATAAAACTATGTGTTAAATGTCTGTGTGGTAAATTCGCCTCAAGATATCATTTTCTACATTATAATAGAAACAAAGGCCGGTGTAACTCCAGAGTCCCCATTGATAAATTATTGATTGACAGTAGCAGAACGTCCATTAACGTGGTCTTGGCTGTTAGCGAACACACAGGTTCAGTTTGTTTCAGTGGGCAAGAAAACGTATCATTGTTCTGTTGCCGCAGGAACAAATCGTAGGTGTAATGGTAGAATATTTAAGATGTTCACACCAGAAATGAAGGAAGAAAATGAAATAGAAATGAACTAAAATCAGCTTTTTCCTTGATTTCCCTATTTCTTCCATTCTCCCCTAAACATCTTTTTATTATTTCTTTGTCCTTTCATCCTACAATCTGCCCTTTTCTGATAAGCTTCTGGAAGAGCTCAGGCCCAAGTCTCTTCATTTATTCCAGTGACAGTTATGACGGTGTTTCTCTGCAGGGTAGCTACACCTTGATGGGAGATGGACGACAACGACTCCTTCACCAGCCTCTCCGGGGAGCAGCTTATCTATGCCATCACCTTGCCGCTGTCGACCTCCATCATCCTGGCCAACCTCGTCATCATCCTGGGCATCGCCTGGAACCGCCAGCTCCACAACACGCCCAACTACTTCTTCCTCAGCCTGCTGGTGGCGGACATGTGCACGGGCGTAGCACTGCCTTTCATACCGCTCATGGGCCTGAACCGGGAGTTGAGCTTCAGTTCCTGCTTGGTGGCCCACGTATTTCCAAACTTCCTCTTCTTGGCGTTCCTCTTCAACCTGGTAATGGTGCATTACGAGCGCTACATTTGCATTGTCGATCCCCTGCATTATAATAACTTGTGGATGCATCGCAGCTTTCCTCTGGCGTTGCTCGTGGTGTGGTTGCCTCCGCTTCTGTACGCATGTCTACCTGCTTTTGGGTGGAACAACTGGACAGGACCAGATTGGGACAGCTGTTGTTGTGCAAGTAGCCAAAATCTGACTCTACTTTCAAACTGTTCAACAAATGCAACCACCTGCTGCTCGTACCGGCGAGTATTCCCCAACGCTTTCATATACTTAGAGGTGTATGGACTCGTCCTGCCTGCTATTCTTACAATCGCTGCCATGACTGGCCGTGTCCTGTGGATCACCCGAGGCCAGCTGAAGGACATATGCCGCCTTCATCGCTCGGTGGATCGGGGCAGTCAGGCCTCGGACCAGGAGCAGAGGCTGAACCTGCGGTACACTCGCTGCGTGGTGGCCGTGTCGCTGACGTTCCTCGCGTGCTGGGTTCCCTACCTCATCTACATGCACGTCTGCATCGCCGCCTTGCTCAGCGACACCAAGTGGAGCTCCACCGCTCACATCGTGCTGTCCTGCACTGGTATCGGAAGCATGGCGGTGGTGCCGCTGGTGCTCGGCCTGGCCAACAAGCAGTACACGGAGCCGGCGTACAAACTTCTCCAGAAACTCAGAGACAGGTGGAGAAATTCACAGGTGTCAGAGGAAGTGGCAGTCTGAGAAAATACTTATAATTCTTAGTATTTAGGAGGACGAATCTGCACGAAATGATGATGAACTGCATGCACACTGTCGGCCGAGAGGGGGAGATATTTATTTACAAAATTAAAACACATTGTCATTTGTTTCTTTCACAATATATTGTAGGTCTGCCCCTGACCAACAACAAAGTCACACTTTTATGATATTAATTTAATTATTTATATAAATGTTTTTCTGGGGCATCAGAAAATGGTTTGATTCCCAGGGATGAAAAATAAGTAACATTGTTGAAACTGCAAAACCAACACAGTGCACCTTTAAAATATAAATTGCACAAAGCAAAATGATTCCTAACATGTTGGAACAACCAGCAAAGAAAGTGAACATTTTGTTTCCAATTATCGCACAGTTTACACTTGAATAAACCTAATAACACATATTTATTTAACATTACAGCTCATTGGCTAATGCACAATGTGGGGTCGAATGAATGCTCTTTATAAATATTTTCAAACTTGAGCTGTCAATATTATTATTATTACTGTATGACACAGATTCTTTATCAGAAAACATAACTGAAAAGATGAGGACTATGTAAGGAAGCTCAGTTTGGATTTTTCTCGCAGGATCGATATCACAGTGGGAGGTGGGAAATAAACAGTGCTGCTTATCATAAATTCACTGGTTGTGGTCTGTAATATACATTCAACAGAATTGGGCAGAAGAGAATAATAGTAGTAACCTGCGGTCGCAGCCTTTACATGATCAGTCTCTCTGAACGGCTTGTGTTGTTGCATTGGTTCTCAAATAGGCCTGTATGTTTGTGTTTGCATTTTCAATGGCATCCTCCATTGTTGCAAAAAAAATCACTTTGCTGATTTTAAAAAGCAAGCTCAACGTGAAAGCTGAAATGTAACTATAACGTCATGCGTGAAGGTTAAATAAAAATATAAAGCTCCAAGACACAGATAACATCCTCATTTCCCTTTGGCCGCCTTTTGTGCACATCAGTATCAATTCTCGTAAATTTAGTCCATCTGTCACCCCCCCCCCCCCCCCCCCCCCCCCCCCCCCCCCCCCCGCCTGCAATGTTTACTCCTACTTCCCTCACCAGTGTTTATCTATATACTGGTATGCAAGACAAAAAGAGTGGAGAGGGGATGCTTCCACAGGCCGTCATACATCTATGGGACATGAGCAGACTAAGCCGGGGAAAGAACCATGAAGTGAAAGTGAAAGATGAGGATCTGCAGCGTTTCCACTTTCAGTCACATTTCGATATAAAAAGTTGGAGGATTGTCAAAAACTGTTGCAGGCTCGTGTGTTAGGGCAACATGATGAAATTAGATTTTTATTTCTAACGTCATTAAATGCAGAATATGTCGAGGCATTTGTTGTTCCCAAAGCAAAATGTGATTTTAAAATGTGTGCTTGTGCATGTGGGTGGAAAAAGGGACAGACGGCAATTGAGTGGAGGAGGATAAGCAGACTTTAATTGAGTTAAATGGCGAAACAAGGTCTGACCTGTTGTGGGACATTAGGTTATCATGTGGTGTGGGTGCACAGGGTGAGCCGTCTTTGTATGTTGCCTCATTTTCCAGTGTTTTCCACATCAGAGCACTGTGTTCATGTCAGGAAGACAGAGAAGAGGAGGAAACTGGATCAGGCTCCATCTCCTCTCCTCTGTCTCAAAACAAATCTTTCTCTGGATTTAGCACATTTATGTAATTGACTGACATTCAAAATTATTAAAGCCCACTTCCAAAGCTTTATGCTAAGATAAGCTACAAATATGTGAATCTCTGGCTAAGACAAGAAATTCTTCCCTGTATTTTACACCTCCATCAACCACTACACTTTAGTCTGCATATGTTTTTTTACAGACCCTTCACGTGACCTATTCTGATTCCAGGAAACATCTCAGATCTCTGTGTATTTCCTTTATATTAACAAGATGTGGACCAACTGAACAGAAACACTCCCACATTTCATTATTTTATTAATTCGGAGGAAAGAGTCAGGTGATTTTCTGTTGCACAAAGACAATATTTTATTCTTATTAGCTCACAAATGTAGAGAAAATACAATGATTCTACCAAAAGAGCACCACATGATAAGAAAAGCTGAAAAACACTGCACTGACATAAACTTCTCCAAGTTCAAGCACAAATTCTGCAGAAAAACCTCCCAAGAAGCTGCGGTTGAAGGAGTTTCATTTATTCTACCATGTAAGAATTCACATTTTGCGGATATCCGGTAATTTCTGCAGGCAGAGGTGTGACGGACAGCCCCGCTCAATCGTCGGTGTAATGGGAGCTTTCCGACACAACCCTGCCTGACTCCACCACCACCCGGATCAGCAGGCGTTTCCTGGAGGCGGGGTCCGCAGGCGGGATGGCGGTGGGTTCAGGGGCCCGCGGCTTCTTGGGTAGGTGAGTGTCTGCGTGCAAGTAAGGAGTTGGATTGGTTGGTTTGTTTTTTAGATACCTGAGCAAAAGAGAGGTTTGATTTTAGTGGGACACAAAACATCAATCAGACAAGAGAATGGAGTCCATTTTGTAATTCAACTATTCATTTGAATTTTGGGATTTTTACATATGTTACGTATATATTTCTCATATGTTATACAAAGGAAACCAGTATGAATAAGGTTGGTAACCACTGTTGTCAAGAATTAGTGAAATAAAGAAAAATGCACCAGCATGCAACAATAAAACCCACAAATAATCAATATTCTTTGTATTTCGCAGTTTTTATTGCTTTTTTGTGATTTCAGAAAAGGTTCTCACCTGTGTGGTACACCAGGCCATGCATTCTTCACAGGGATGGAGCAGAGACAGTGGTTAGTGCGAGAATCAGTGAATCGTATTATTAACAAGTGAACACACCAAACATGTGCTCATACCTCTCTTCCTCGCCCTCCAGCAGCTTGCGGTACGTGGCGATCTCGATGTCCAACGCCAGCTTCAGGTTCATCAGCTCCTGGTGCTCACGGATCTGCCCGGCCAGGTCCTGCTTGGCCCGCCTCAGGGCCTCCTCCAGCTGGGCAATGTCATACCGAGCCTTCTGCAAGTTGTTGTTTCCCTCCTCATGCACGCCGTCGATGTCCTTCCTCAGAGACTCTTCCTACAGAGACAGGAAGAGAAGCTGAAAGGCTGCTTGGATGGAGACGACATAAATCTAATTTTGCATCTATGTGATTTTCCAACCTTCCTCATGAGAGCCTCCAGGTCACTGTTGAGCCTCTGGATGTGGCGCACCATGTCTGAGATCTCCCTCTTTAAATCACGCACTTCCTGCTCACGTTGTCCTGCAGTTTGGACCATGGCGTCCATCTAAGTGTGGGGAAATATGAACAATGTTAAGGACTAGGGTATAGAATTAAAATGTAAAGATATTTAGCAGTAACTGAGATGAGGAATACATTTAAAAGAAAATATCGAACTTTGTCAAGCTCAAAAAAACTATTACTGACTAAACTTATTAGTGTACAGATGTTTTAACTCCTGGATTTTATGTTCCAACCTTTGGGCGTCATCCTCCTCACCTTCCTCTGGTTCCATTGCTCGGCCTCCTCTCTGCTGCGGTTGGCCACCATGGCGTACTGATTCTTGACGTTCTCTACGATCTCGTTCATGTCCAGAGACCGCTTGCTGTCGTCGGGCAAGATCACCGTCTTGTTCTGGACAAGGGACTCCAGCTCCTTGATCTCCTGCAGGGGGCAGACACGAGCACGGAATATTGTTCTTTTATCCGCATTCTTTAGTGTTAAAGGTTCCCTGTGTAGCATTTAGTGACATCTAGTGGTGAGGTTGCATGTTGCAGCTGAATCCGGTTTGGGCTACTGATAAAAACATGGCAGGACTCCATCATCTTTTCACATATTTTTAAACCCCCAGGTTGGGAATCACTGTTGTACAATATCAATATGTTACAGTTTATAACATTATTAATGTTATTTAAGAAGAAAAAACAAAGGAGAGAGTAATATAAATAAAATAAACCCCATTATTACCTCATCATAGCCAACCCTGAGGAAATCCAGCTTTCCCATCAGGTCCTCCAGCTCCAGGGCCAGAGTTACTTCCTCCAAGTGACCTTCATCTACATCCTGTATGTATAAATATATGAATACTAATATGGTAACACAGAGAATTTGCTTCCAAAATATCATATTTCAAAATATGTTTGATATCGATAAAAATACAGCATCTTTTTGATTCATTTTTAATTAATTCATGATAGTTTTTACTGCTGTTTCTAAATGGTTGATTAAACGAGGAAAAGTGGCTCAGGGCACCTTTTTGGTGATGATGAAATCATTCTCCACATCAGCTTTCTTCTGCAACTCGTCCTCAAACCTGAGACCCAGTGAAAATAAAGGGTGAAACATTCATTTGTGCTCATAATGATTTCATTTAAATCATCCGATTTTATGATCTTGTTCATTCTCATATTCCCATTCACGTATATCACCCCCCAGTGTGAGCTGCTGACCTCTTCTTGGTGTCCTCCACCTCCTCCTGGTCCCTGATCAGCCCGGCCTGCAGCTTCTCCTGGTCTTGGAGCAAGGTCTCGATCTGCTGCTCCAGCTCGTTCTCCAGCTGCTTTACGATGTCGTCCACCTTCCCCTCATACTCCTCCTGCTCCTTGAGGATCTTCAGCTTCGTGTCCAGCTTTTTGTTCTCGTCCTCCAGGTTTTTCACCTGAGACGGAGGGGAAAAAAATGTACTTGTGATTTATGTTACGATACAAAACAAGTCCCTTTCTGCTCTGTTGCACTGCAGCTGAGGTTAACATGTGATGTGGTTCATGTTGATAATGACAGGTGAGGATGTTTTTGCTCACTGAAACTATGTGTGTAACCTATTATCAGGTTTGTTGAGGAGAAGGAATGTAAAGAGACAAGGAGACGTGTTTAATCTGGCAACAAATGTAAATACTTTTTTTTTTTTAACTCAAAAACTAAAAATTCCCTTTGACCCTTAGGTATTTATGAGTGAAGACCCAGGACCTGTGGCTGCAGGTGACAGAATGATTGACAGCTCAGAGTGTCAAAGTGCGTGAGTGTCAGAGTATATATATATATAAATTAACAAATTAAAGAGTGTCTTGATTGACTGATTTCAATCATTTGTATTGTTTTATTATTATTATTTGATTATTTATACTTATATCATTGATTTATATTTAATTTTCATATGTATTTTATATTATTTCCCATCATTTAAATATTTTAGAATACTATTATTATTATTATCATCATTTAATTTAATTTTTTTACTTTTTCTAAAATATTTTATCTGTTTTAATCCTGTTTCAATGAAAAGAACGTTGTTGGTTTAGTTAAGAATTGGCTGTATAAATAGCTAAGTATTTATATTCTATAATATAATGACAATAATAGTTATAATTAACTATTCTTATCATTATTATTTTAAATTTTCCTAAATATTTTATGCACAATCTTGAAAAGTTTCAATCCGGTTTTAAGATAAAGCAGTTGTTGGCTTTGTTTTTTTAAAAGTTCTGCATAAATAGATCATTAGTAGTAGTAGTAGTAGCAGCAGCAGCAGCAGCAGCAGCAGCAGTAGTAGTAGTAGTAGTAGTAGTAGTAGAAAACAATTATTTACAGACCTTGTCAATCAGCTTGACGAACTTGTCGTTGAGTCCCACCATGTCGTCCTTCTCCCTGGATTTCCCGGAGGGGTTGATCTTGGTGGACTGACTCTTGGCCGGTCCTGAGCTCCCGGGGGAGTAGGTCTGGCTGCTGTAATCTCTGGGCTTAGACATGCTGGATGCTGGAGGTGCAGATGCTCCCCGCAGCAGCTGCTTTTAAACTGGCCAGGAACCACCCATCACCTCGCCACTGCCCTGCATGTGTCCAATCAAAAGAGGACAAGTGGAAGATTACAGTGAAAAATAGGAAAAAGTCAACAAGAAATACTTGAATTTCCACTGTGAGCCAGTTTGTCAGGAGCGAAGTTGGGCACCAGGAGCCAATGGCACCACTGGGGGCGGATTCGTGCGTAAAAGGCAGGTATAAAACCTACCTGCGTCCTTTGCATCCCACAGGTGACTCCCCAAGCTGAAATACAGTCCGTGTGAGCTCTCTGACATCCAGCTGCAGTCATGCCTTCAAACACAGCCGCCAGCATGTTCGGTGGAGCCGGGGGAAGGGGCTCCAGGGCGTCCGTGGCGAGCCTGCAGGGTCTGCGCAACGTCCTGCGCAACGAGCCGGAGAAAGACTCCCCGCGCCCTGCGCCCGCCGCTCCGGCCGCACCTGCAGCTCCAGCTGCTCCCGCAGCCCCCGCAGATGACAAGCACACTCTGCGGGGTCTCAATGATCGACTGTCCGGCTACCTGCACAGGGTGAAGAATCTGAGGGAGGAGAACGAAAACCTGGAGAAGCAGATCGATGAGATTTTGGCCAAGAGGAAGACACCTGTGGGTCGAGACTGGGATGAGACAGAGAAACCCCTGGATAAGCTCAAGGACAAGGTCAGTCATCAGATCCTAAGAAAGAAATGACATAATATAACTTTGGTACAGATTTAAAATGATTCCATTTAAATATTCCTGTAAATATACATCATGCATTTTTCTCCTTAGATCAAACACATCGCCATGGACAATGCCAAGCTGCTGCTTCAGATTGACAACACCAAACTGGCCAATGAGGACTTCAAGAACAAGTAAGTTTTATGTAGTCTAGGTAAATATAAAAAAAATCTGGTCTGCAGTATAATTACAACTAGAATTTTGGATGAATTGAGTATGTGTGCATCATTCTTTGGATTGTTCCTCTGTTTGCAGGGAGGAAGATGAGAAAAAGGGCCGCAAGGAACTGGAAAACGACTTGGAGGATTTGAAGAAGACCGCTGAGGACACCAGGCTGAACTGCGGGCAGACGAAGAAGGAGATTGAGCTGGTGAAGGAGGAGCTGGAGCGCCTCAAGCGAGAACACAAAGATGTGAGGCCTGAAAACTAAAACACAAAATCACACACACTTTTAAGATTGAGACGTGAGGCAAAATTACAATTGTGGCTCTTTCAGGATGTGAATGCCCTGTGTGAGAAGGTCAAGGGTTCTGAGGTTATTGTGGAGATTGACTCCCAGAATTCCAAACTGGCCGATAATCTCAACAAGATCCGCAACCAGTACGATAAACTGGTCAAGAAGAACCTAAAGGAGACTGAGGAGTGGTACCAGAGCAAGGTACAGTGCCTGCAGGATGTCCCTCTACCTCCCCACTATCCCCTGTTGATGTCGCCATGTTCATCTTGTCTTTCCCCCCCCTCTCTCTCCAGTTTGAAAACATCAAGGTGGAGGAGGCCCAAAATGTGGAGGTCCTTTATTCTGGAAAATCCGAGCACAAGGATCTGCTTAAACAGCAAAAAGTTCTGGAAATTAAGATCCAGAGTTTGCAGAGCACGGTAACTACACATGAAATAGTCTCTAGAGAACAAAGTGAAATCCCCTGGAACCAAACCTTCCAAATATGCAATAGGTTTATAACTCATTCTCAAGACGTGCAGATGGAGTATTTTGCAAAACAAAAGTGACATTGGACAAATAAAGATCCCACTCAGAAGCTAAAGTCCTAAAACCCTTGAAGCTAAAATATTTATATGACAATATCTTTCCTTTTTCATGTCAGGAATGCTAAAACCAGCCGCAGGCTACCTGTCCTTCTCACAAGCATTCCTGACTCCCTTGTCATTATACTGTAAACCTGCTACTTTAAACCAGACAACTCTTGGTCCGTCTCACTATAGTGCGACAAAACATCTGGCTCTGCTCTTCCATATCAAGCAGTTTAGATGAAAAAGGTCACTCTAACCTATTATGTGTTTTTCCAAGGTTGCATATCATTGGTTTATTATTAAAGTATGATGAAATTCCAGGGTAGGATCCCAACAAAAGAGTGGGCAGCCAAGAATCACCCCATTTCCTCCTTTCAGATCCGAAACCTGGAGGAAACCCAGAGGAGCACCGAGACGGAGTACGGTCAACGCCTGGTCCCTCTCAACGCGGGGATACTGAACCTGTCGGCGGAGTTGGAGAAGGTGAAGTCGCAGGTGGAGCACCAGGTGGAAATCAACAAGAACCTGCTGTGCGTCAAGATGAAGCTGGAGTCAGAAATCAACAACTACCAGCAACTGATCCTCGGGATGACCTCTGACACTGAGTGGTGAGGACGGTCAGAGAGAGATAATGATGGTTGTGGTATCTGATGGGAAAATGTGTCTGTCTGTAGTGTTTATGTGACACAAATCACCTCTAGTGCCATTTATCTCCTGTAATCAGGATGGGTTGCTCGTCACTACAACTAATTGAGTTCGACATGTTGAGAAATACACAGTTAGATGAGAAGATTGATAAAATGTTCAAGATAATAGGATCAATTAGAAGCTACAGCCAGTCCAGTTTCTTTTTTTGGCATAAACACACCCCGACACAAAAAAGTATAACAGAATAACACATACTTTTGCATACTTATCCTCTTCTTCCCTGACAGCTTGGAGTTCTCTTTAGAGGACGGAGTTCGCAGCGGTGAGTTACACATCCAGCTGAAATCAAAAAATCATAATGATTCCAGAATGTTTTTGCCAAGAAAGATCAGGGTCAGGGTGGTTTCAGTTTGGTCTTACCAATTGCCGCCTTTCCAAAGATTGATAGTGACGAGAATTAACACAGACACTAACTAACACTAGAAAAGTGTTAGCAACACATTAATGTTTTTATGTGAATGCAAGAACCACGTGGTTTACACGCAAGGTTGATGGAGTTGTGTGCAGAGTCATGCATGAAAACTAACCCTCACATCAATTTGTGATGTGTGTTTGCTTTCTTGCAAGAAAAGTTTGTTTAGCTTAGAACTGGGGGAATAAAGCTCACTTACAAGCTTAGTTTATTTTATTCATGACCTTTAGAGCTAATTCATTAATTCTGAACATGGCGACAATGTGGACACATTAACTAGTTGTAGCGTCTTCGTTGGACATGAGTCCAACTCATTGCAAGAAAGCAAATAGGCATTTCACCCTGCAACTACAATCACACCCAATTTAACACTACAACATAATCAGAAATGTTGCTACCCAATGTCATTTGTCCTGTTTCCCTCAAACTCTGGTGACTTGTTGACTTTCTAGCAGTGGCACACTGAAATAAAAGAAAAGCAGAGGGACCAAAGGGAAGATAAACACATTTAAAAATCTGATTCATCCTCTTGTTTGCAGGACGGCAAAAGCCTGACAACAAGGTGCAGAAGAAGCAGCAGGAAGTGAAAGAGAAAGCTGCTGTGAAGAAAGAAAACAACCCCTCAAACAAATCCACCCCTCCTGCTGAAGGAGACCCCATCAAGGCCGAGAAGGTCGCTGCCAATAACGCAGAGGCTCAAAATGCACCAAATGGCAAAACCGAAAAAAAGAAAACCAAGACCAAAACTAAGAAGGGTTCATCCTCTTCCTCCTCATCATCTTCCTCCTCCTCCTCATCTTCTTCCTCCTCATCTTCTTCCTCCTCCTCCGATTCCGAGAAGGAAGATGATAAGCCCAAGACGGAGGGTGAAGTCGCCAACGCTTGATCTTAAAAAGCTAAAATGTTTTCTGTCCCTCAGCCAAGTTTCATATCAACCGACTGTCGCTGCCAAACCTGAAATGCTACAAAGAGGTTGTTTGTTTTCTCTGATGTCAGAAAATAAATACATTTAATGGCAAAAGTGAATCATCCATCAGTGTTTTTTTCGTATTCATATGAATTTATATGATTATAAGTTTTATTTTCAGATTCTTGGTTATTGTTTCGATTGTAAAATGACAGAAAATCTTTCGTCATATTATCCCACAACACAAGGTGACATCACCATCACGACCAGTTCAAAACACTAAAATATTCAATTGACATTCAGAAAAACAGCCGTCCCACGTTAGAAAAACTGAACAGTCAAATGTTTTTGCATTATTGCTTTAAAAACAACTTTAAAAAAAACCTTTTCTTAAGTTTAGAACAGAATATTTATAGTCACCGTCGCCATGGACCACATGCTTTCCACCTGCCTGTGAGACAAACACAGGAAATGAGCAGACAAGTCAAAACATACATTTTTAGAACAATCAATATTTGAAACATCATCAAGCAGAAATGTAGACTTCTAAAAAAAGAGAATAAACTTAAAACATATATCACAAAAACACGGTTCAGTTTCAGTGTTTATAATAACTTATAGTAGAGAACCATGTAATCCTTAATCTGAGGCAAAGTAGTGCGTTTACTTGAAAGCTTACGAACACAGAAATATCTCTTGTAAATCGGTGTCAAAGGAAAGATAATGTGTGGACTGATAAAAATGACATCATGAGAGAAGTCAACACAGACACGTGCGATGCTTTTTTTGTAAGAGTGATTTATTTTATTTTTTTCAAATGACAATGGTACAGACGACATGACGGCACAGAGAGGAAGGGAGGACTGAAATCATCCGGAACATGAATATCGCATGGTGAGGGTTGG